AATTAATTTCATGTGCTGCAATTGGCTGAAAGGCCGCAACTGAATTCGGCTGTTAACTCAAACCGGAATGGGGAGATATGACGGGTAAATTGCCGTGCATAGGGCTCTGTTTGGCTATCAGGATAAAAAATGACTCAACAAGATTCCATCTGAAAAATCAGCCTCAACACGCCTACATGAGTACCACTTAACAGTAAGGGGGCCAGACCACTAGACCAAAGTCGCCATGCATACGATAAATGCTGGGCACACATTTATTTAGGACAAAACGTGCATTGCTGATTTCTTTCCCTGTAAGAAAGCCTGACACTTTTTGGAGATCGTAAACTCAGGTGATTCATGCATCTATCGGCAAATTGATTTAGATGCCATGTACACACCTCTAAAGGAAAAATGGAAACGCGGATCGTTTCAGAGATGTTTAGATTTTATGTGTCTTGCGCTCTGCACGTCTGACTGGAGGACTTTTTGGGCTGCACGACCCCAAACAATTCAGCCTTTTTGGAGAGACACTCCGACAATGTGAGTTTTGTTCCAGGCGAAGGTGTGCCCGGCATCTAGGGTATCCATGCTCACTTGAGACCAATGGCGTTGCCTTTTATTGCCTTTTAACTGGCAATTTAATGTTCATGGATGTGTATAGAGGCAGATTTTTCCGTTTAGCTACAACATAAGGCATCACAGACATCGTATAGGATTTTGTAGACAACTTCCTTCCCATTAAGAAATTCAATCCTACCTTTATGGTTCACATGCTGAGCGCGTAAGGCCCTTGTCAGTTTGGATGCCAATCTTATTTCGTGTTTCTTAAAGTGTATTTGAAAGAATTAAGGCGCATACCCAGTGTGTACAGAAGGATTCGCCAAGTATTTGCTTTGGGCGCGTAATTAGAACTATTAAAGTTCCACCAAATTTTTAAGTCACTGTTTCATAAATTCCATCCATTTCACACTATAGAACTTCTAAAGAAATCGAGAAAAATAACAGCTACCACTACTTGGGTGATGGTCTCCTTCGCTGTCATTTCTTTGGCCAAGTGCGCAACATTAGATTTAACAAGGCTATACACAGGTGAACTCTATGACACGGAGTTTTTCGGAATGGCCATTTCTGGCTTCCTAGCCATTATCAGCAAGACATACCCAGTTCCGGGTTGGGCTCACCTGGGAGTCGACTCCGGGATCTTTGGCCTGATGGCCTGCCATTGAGCCACGGGCCTATGGTTCGACCGCTGCTATCAAGAATACTAGCTGTGTCCGAATTGTATTAATCGATCGGGTTGCAAGCCATGCCCGTTCCATTGTGCTCTGGGGCCTAACCCAGAGCCCGCAGGCAGCCACTTGTTATAGGGACGCGAGTGGCCATGCACTCAGAGCCTATGACCCGGAGTCATGCGCACAGGCAAACAGCGAACGCTAATGACCGTTCACACAGCCTGAGGAACGATCAATCAGCGTGCACACGCGACGACCGCTCACACAGCTTAGGACCGACAAGGAAAAAACAGAAGTGATCACCCCAGCCTCTCTTTATCTTTTGAACCCCGCCTCGCTCTTTCTTGATAATACTAAACGAGATTGGCACCTACGTCAGCTGACTGTAAAACGACTAAAAACAATTCCTCCATGATGGGGGGGGAGGTGGCGATGAGTAGGACTACTCCATATAATTCCCAAGGAAGCGGGCAAGTTGAGCGTTTGAACCAGACTTTACGGAAGACCATTATACTTGCTTTGAAATTTCGAACGTTACCTCTCACCCACTGGCAATCCGTTCTC